TTTAATTATTTCTTACTTTAAAATTCTTACGTTGATTATTTTTGTAACTTTAAGCAACATACTATTTTTTAAAATTTTTGTTCCATTAACTGTTGTTAGTGACTTTGAATCTCTTACCCCCCAAATAAAATACTTTATATTCCTTCCTGTTTTTTCTTAGCCTTTTTCCTTACCATTCACTGAATAATTTTTGACTGTTAGAACTTTGTTGTATTGTTCTGAAGGCCAATGACATTTTATGCTTTACTCTGTCACTATAATTAAGTCTGGCATGCATATAGGTTAACTCTAAACATAGAAAACTGGGAGCTGTTTCTGTGAACGTGCCAGTTTTGTTCAATGCAGAGCCAGGTGGTAGGTCAGGATGATCTTTCTTTCCCTCTGTCCAGCGCAGGGGAAGCCTCACTCCTGTCAGGGTCAAATGGGCCCCGATTCCGAATCCTTGGTTAAATTCTCACCGTCATTCCATAGCATGTAAGTGTCATAGTTGAGCCATTCCTTTTTACCTCTTCATTTTTTCCTACAGGTTTAAATGATGTTTCAGAACTATTTATTTAATTGTATTTATTATCATCATTATTATTATTTTAACCTGCTATAGGACTCATGTGCTCGCTAGAGAGAAACAGAGAGAGAGGGAAAGTGACCAAGCAAGTTGCCAGGTCTGGGACATGAACCATGGTCAGCCATGTGGGAGTCTAGTGCCTTAACTACCCTGCTGGCCCTTAAATGATTTTTTTTTAATCCTTCATTGAAATACTTTTGCTATGTCCTAAAATGTGTATCTTTCAACCCCACTTCTGAGTGAAGTTCCCTTTCTCTCAGTCCTTAATTGGACATTCTGTCCCCTCCCCCCTTTTTAAAATAAGCAATTACTTGAATCAGATAAATTACTTAATGAATTGCTATTATAGTTCCTAGTGACTCAATTAAACTTCCTTTTAAAAGCTATGTTACCAGGGACCAGCACGTGCGTGGTGTGGTAGTTGAGGTGCTAGACTCCCACATGGATGACCACAATTTGAGTCCTGGACCTGGTGACTTGTTTTCTCATTTTTCCCTCTCTCTCTGGTCAAATTTAAATAAAAATAATAATGATAATGAATAAAGTTAGATAACATAATTATTTTTAAAAACTTTAAAAAAATACAATCTTACCTGAATCTTTTTATCTTTCTTTTCCTTTTCCTTTTTTTTTTAATTTTTTTCCACTCCAAAGTTACTTGTTCTATTTCTTTTCTCAGGCCATTTTAAGTTTTAATTTTTCTTAGATGGTAATTTTTTTTTGTTGTTGAACACACGTGTGAATGAAGAAATAAATCAGTGAAGTAGTTGGTTATTTTGCCTAATTGGTGTGAGATTGCCTGGCTATATTTAAATAGGTCGATTTCCCTTGCAAGATTCTCCTTGCAGTGCAGAGTTCTCACATTGCAGTCAACTCTAGCCTCAGCCAGTCCAGATCAGACTCTGGTGCTCAGGAAGATCCTGGGACAGAAACACAGGATCTTTCCCATGTGGGTCTAACTGTGCACCACTGTGCCACTATCTGGGCCCAAACTTAAATAAGATGTCAGTTTCTAGTAGGAAATATATTTCATTTTGATATCATGTTAAAACCATCATTTGGCATTGATAAAATCTGAGGAGGGAGGTTGGGGCCAGCAGGTGGCATGGTGATTAAGGCGCTAGACTACCACATGGCTGACTGCAGTTTGAGACCCAGACCTGGAGGCTTGAAAATCATGCCAGGAGGGTATGTGTGCATGTCCAAAATCCCAGGAGGGAAATGGAGAAGGGATTGTGGCATGGCCATCCCTCCAGGGGGCGATTTTTTTGCTTTCCCTCTCCCTGTCTCTCTCTGGTGAGCACATAAGCCCTATAAAATAAAATTTGGCACTTATTAAATATCATTTTGCACTCACTAAATGTTTTTTCTTATTTTACTTTCTGGTATTCACAAATTAATTCACAGTCATGAATACATTCTATTGGGAGGGTGATAATGCCTATATTATCTAGCCACTGTGTCAAATAATACTTGTTACTTTACAATGCCTCAAAATATAGTATTATATATTTATTTAATTTTGCCAGAGGGCATATGGACTCACCAGAGGGGCAAAGAGAGAGCGATGAGGAGAAAGTATCCTACCATGGGACACGTTCATGCTGTAATCCCTCTCTTCCATTTCTCCATCCTGCCCAGATCTGGGGCATGCAGGCACCCACACATAGTGTGTTTCTCAAGTCACAGGGGTGGGGTTCAGATAGCAGTCAGCCATGTGTGATCTGACTACATTCAGTACCAGGTCACGGGGCTGGCTCAAAGTACAGTATTGTTAAAATGGTGATGCATTACAATGACAAATTTCTTAATATGAAACTATCCTTCTATTCCTCAAATAAATTCTATTTGACTTTTTTTTTAAATTACAGCCATAAAAATATTAATTTATAACATCATGTCTTTTTTTCGGGTTTTTATGTTTTGTTAATAGGATTGTTCTTGCTTCATAAATGAACTTAATAGCTTTCCTTGTTTTTCCTCCATGTTTCAGTCCAGGTAACCTGTCAGTTATGTATTACTGCAGAATTGAAAAGAGCTTGCTTGTAAAGTCAGGTAAGGCTGGAATAGTAGTTCTCTCTCTCTCTCTCTTTTTTCTTTTTTCTTCAGAGGTTTTTGCTACAGGATGCATGTGCTCGCTGGAGAGACAGAAAGACAGAAACTGAGAAATCATTCCCCCGAGGATGTGGTCATGCCACAGTTCTTCTCCTTTACTCTATTCTTGGGATTCTGGGCAGGGACACACATACCACTCACATGAGTTCAATTGTAGATTCTGGACTCGAGCCGCCATTGGCTATGTGGGAGTCTAGTGCCTTCACCGCTGTGGCACCTGCTGGCACCAGTGGTTCTCAAACCTAACTATATATTAAGGTGACCTGGAAAGGTGAAAAAAATCCCAATGCCTGGGCCTTATCCCTGATGAGTGAAATCAAAATCCCTGGGTTGGCATTCAGATGTCAACATTTTAAAATGCGAAATCAAACAAAAGACACCATGGTTTATAAAGTGTACACTAGATCTAGCATTTTCTCGTTGGGTCCACAATTGGTCCAATAGTAAACATTGATTCGCTTTTTGGCACTACCCAGCTGATGAAATACAGCAGACGTAGTAACAGTAGTAGCTCAGACCAGTTTTTCTGCCTTTATCTTGCCTTAATCTGATATCATACTAAAAAGCAAAGCAGATAACATACTCGCCATTTCAGAAGTAGATAAAGCAGACTTTGGAAGGTACGTAGTAAAGCCTCTTGACCACCACCATTTTGGCATTTCGATTCGTAAAAGAGTCTAAAGACTGAACGATACAACAATGGCTAACACACAGGAAAGAAATAGGAGCTCATTAGCTAATCAGGACGTCTTACTTCCAAAGAGTAAATCTGATTACATTGCTCCAGTTTAAAACCCTTCAATGGCTTCCTTATGCCTAAAGAAAAAAAAAATTCCTTTGTGTGGCATAAGAGGTTCTTTATGTGACACGAGATCTGGCCCCCATTTCCTCTCCTGTCGCAGTTCTCAAAGGGCCTCTCGTGCTCCCTCTGCTCAGTCACGCAACTCGGTTTGCAGTTCCTTGAATGCTCTGGTGTTTTCTGTGCTGTGCATCTGCTTGTTATTTGCTCTTTCTGAAGGGTCCATCTTCCAAAACCTTCTTTTCCTTCCCTCTTTCCAACTTGGTCCACCAGTTTATCTTTAAAATCTGGTTCTGTTCCAGGGCCTACCCCTCAGAGGCCCTTGTTTCTGACTGCTTCTAGAGTTCCCTATAAAACAGTGTCTGCCCACAGGGCAGCCACCATTTACTACCCTTCTTATACCCATCTTATCCACGCTGCCTGGAACGAGGCCGCAGATGGCGTGTAATAAAGATTTACCAAATGAGTAAAGACTGGTCATTATTTGTCTTGACCGCTTCCATCGGAAATACGTGAAATACGCAAGTAAAGGAAAATTTCTGATAAGGGCTGATAATCAGGGACTGTGGGAGATCTTGCTATTAGACCCATTCATTCAAGCTTCCACTGCTGCTCAGTCTCTGTTCCTGGATTATCAGGGGGGCCTCAATGGGACTGGGAGACTGATGAAGCTGGAGCCACCTTCCATCAGTACGCTGTGTTCGTAATTCCAACACTCATACTTTTCTTGCAGTGACCATTCTAAGTCAGGACAGTCAAAATATGCCTCATTGCGAAAGAAGATGAGAACCCTTTGTTCCTTCCTCTCTCCTCTTTTTCTTTTTTCTTTTTTTTCTTTCTTTCTTATGAGAAAAAGAGAGTGAACTGGGGAGAGACAGAGAGAAGTATTTTTGCAGGGTCTCACCAGCACATAGTCCTCCTGCCCCAGCCTCCCAGTTATCTAGGACACCAGATCGGTGCCATGACACTGGCCTCTTTAGGTTGGACCAAGAATCCAAACTGGAGCCCCCACGTGGCCTCAACCCCCGCACAGCTGCACTCTCCTGCTTGCTCCTCTTGGGGCTGGGTCAGGATTTCTTCTTTAGTTGCCTGTTACATTTTTAATGAGGTAAAAGTTCAAACCAAATCATAATCATCAAGAGAATAATTGTTCTTTCCTGTTAATAACCATAGCTCGCCACTTTGATGGTGAACGTGTTTTGTGCGTGGGAGTAGCGTGTGTACGTGGGTTAAAGTACAGAGATGCTTATGCACTTCGAAGCACACCTGCAATTTGCAAGACAGCTTCGTGTGTAATGGGTTGTACACGCACGATGCGGTCGAAGCTATTGAAGAAGCTTGAGTTGTAATTCCTCAGCATGAATTCACATCCTAGAGTGCTTACCTCATCCTGTTGTCTGCGTGCTCTGTGGCTACATACCTGGCAAAGAGCAGGATTAATGCTGATGAAAAACGTGCCTGGTTCTCTGCATAACAGATGATGTCCGAGTGGAAGACCGCCAAGGGAGGATTAAAAGCAAGAATGCGAAAATGTGCTTAGGAATCCGTGCGTGAGATGATGAGTTCTGAGCTGATGCTAGTTCTGTGCAGCTTCCAGCGTCTTCCTCAGGGGCGAGATTTTCTTGCTCTTGATTTAGCCTTGAATGTTTTCTAGCTACGATATTTTTAGAAAGATCTAACAGGAAACAAGGAGCCATGCTGAAGCCTGGGGAGCTCATTTGGATCTAGATAAACATTTGTCCGTAAAAACCGTGCATTCTTCCCTGGTCACATCTTCCCACGACAGTCCATCTTTCTGTGAATTTGCAGGGGTTCAACAGAGATTAGTGCATGGCGTCTTTAACTGTATTCCAAGCCTCACGTTCTCTTCTCCAGTAAGGCTGTGTATCTTTGGAAACAGAAAAAATATAGACACTTATTTTTTGCAGTCCCCAGCACAGTTGTAAGCATGTTAGAGACTGTTACACAGATATTGACTAGTTAATTTATTACTAATGCTTTAAAAATGAAGTGATGACTGGTACCTTAAAGTCAAACCAAATCATGAAGCATTTCTCTTTTTCAGCTAGGGGAAACTTTCTACTGTTTTTTTTCTTTTTTGAAAGATTTAAGAGGCAGCAGGTATGCCATTTTCAACTAAGTATTTTGCTGCCAATATGAGAGTCTTAGAAGGCAGGAAATAACAAAACACAATGCCAAACAAAGCTGATAGTTTTCAAGGATTCATTTAATTTCCAGGCCACAGCATCTTCCATGGCTTGTTGCCTTAAAAAAAGAGCAACACACATCTGCTCAAAATTCAATCCAGAAATGCAATTATGAAGCAAAGCTGTCTCACACACGTACAGTCACACGTCCCCTGGTAGTGCACTGAGCCAGATGACGCTGCGCAGCGTGGTGTCTGTGCCCAGGGCACTGCCAATGGGTCGGATACATGGCTGATGACAATCTCCATCGTTTCACGTCAGAGATGCTGAGTTCTCCAACTCCTGTTTTGAACAACCTCAACGGCAATTGTTATTGGAACAAACTGTCATTGACGTCCAGGACCGGCCCCAGACATGTCTCATTCCGTGTCTCTACTTGCCGAAATTCTAGGTTTTTCTCAGGCGTTTGCTCATGTTGGTCTACTCCTCATGTGATTAACTTTACTGAGTTGTACTTTAGTATTGATTTTTGTCTGCTTCAATTTGTACAAAAGCTCTCATGGATATTGTTCACCATTTATTTACTTAAAGTGATAGGTATGCGTTGTTACATATAGCGGTTCTCTTCAGGTTCAGCTTCTGGGAAAAACATACAAATCCATATCTCTTCTGTCTGCTAATGTTACACTTGTTTCCATTTTTGCTTTGGCCTCCAGGAAGTTCAGAGTCACATTTTCTGTGTACTTACAGAAACTATGTTACATGCTATCATTATCATATTAACTTAATTTTCTTCTTTTGATCTTTAAGTTCCTATTTCCATTCCTTTTTTTTTATTAAGCCTATCATATATTTTTTGTTGTTGTAAGCCAAATTAAAATCACTTTGGAGTAAGTCAGGGTTTATTTAAATGATAAAGCACAACTGTCTTTGATTATCTAGCTAAGTGTTTTTTGTTTTAGATTATATACCTTTAAAATAAATTACCTTTGTCTTTAAATAACTGAAAACGAAGAAGCTTGATTCTTCAGAAAGTTAACCCATGGCTATAGCAACCACATCGATACAGACAACTGATGTTCCATCAGGACTGCCTTTAAACAACCAGGAGAATTTCACGGTCTCTGCAGCTGTCAGTCTTAAGTTTCTGTCTTCTTTATTGATTGTATTACTCTTGAAAGCTACATGAGTTTCTTTCTCTCTTTATTTCTTCCTTCCTGTCTGTCTGTCTTTCTTTCCTTCTTTCTTTTTCTTTCTTCCTTCCTTCTTTTTTGAGAGCTGTTTGCTATAGAGCACACGCACTTGCTGGGGAGAGAAACAGAAAGTAAGAAATCACACTCCACAATCCCTTCCCCTCCATTCCTTTCTCAGGATTTTGGGCATACATGCACATACACTGGGACGTGAGTTTCATGCCAGGTCTGGGACTTGAACCCTGGTTGATTGCATGAGGGTCCAGTGCCTTAAACACTATGCCACCTGCTAGTGCCAATACACAATTTTCTTATCCAAGAAAAGATATTTAATAAAATTACACAGACCACAGCAACTGAGTTGGAATGACCATGACTGAATAGAACAAAATCAGATAAAGTAAAGGAGAGTGTCCATGGAATGTTAAGAAATGTACTGGTCTAGATGATCAACTGAGACTCCGTTGACGGTGTGCTTCCAAAGCCTCTGACATAAGCCGATGTTCGCCTCAGTGGCAGTACTGTTTCCTGGGAGCTCAGAGTTGAAGCAGACACAGAAACTGAGCCCTTCGACACAAGGCTGGCTGGTATAACTCGGGACACTGACACCTTCATTCCTTCTTTGTCTTAGAGGGCCACTTCCCTCTGTCATCTGGTCATCTCTCAGGACTGTGTCCTGTCTTCTCAGACTCTCCAGAGCAGACACACAGCTGTCAATTACTAGCAGAGGGGGTGCAGCAAAGGACTATCCCTGAAAACAAAGGCAACTCGCAAGCTTTCAGGAAGCCTTCTTGGGGCGAGCGCGGGGGGCAGTGATGGGCCTGTTCAGGACACCCTCGGGCACTTGTGCATTGCCTGGTCCAGCTGCAGCTGGTTAAGTGCGTCAGGATGCCATGTGTTTCTGTGTTCTGCTTTTCCTGTGTTCATATTCTTCAGTTTTTTCCCATCACATCAAACACTTGTCCAGCCCAGGAACAATGCTGGCCTTTGCCCTGTCACTCCTGGCAGCACAGTCCAGTTGTTTGGAGAAAGATGTAGCTTAGTGCCTGAGCACCCTGGGCAACTGCAGCCCTCGAGTCCCGTGGCCTTACTCTTCTCATTTGCAGAGTGAGGGGGTTGGAGCAGGCTCCTGTTTTAAACACTTATTTGTGCTTACATCCCAAACAATCTGTTATTATTATTTTTTAAAATCTTTTTCTAAAACCATGTGTTCAGCAGCAGCTTTGAATGGGGAAATGTTTTTTTAAAGTGATGCCACTGCGCCCTCCTGTGGCTGAAAGTGAAGTCATCAAGTTGTTCACAGACATTAGCAAGACTCAGAGGGAAAGTAGGCCTGGGACAAACCGCCAATTTTACAGGTATCTGAACCAGCTGTTCCAGAACGCACCAAGTCGCCGGGTAGACCGGGTGCCACATGTAACCGAGAGGCCCTGGTGTCACCAGCCTGGGAAAACCACACCGCTGCCCCGAGTCCCACCTCTGCTGGTTAGCAGGAAGCATGTTTCTCAGCTACATACTCCGACTGCTGAGAACCCTCTAGGTGCCCTCCTCCTTGCCCACGGATACAGAATCCAGAGAAGGCCTCCGAGCTCATTGCACTGCCCTGCCCCACACATGCCTGCCAGTCTGCAGGAAGGCCTTGTAACAGAACCCGCCATGTCCTGGGCAGGACTCGGGCCTCAGCCTCACCTGTGGTACGAGCCCTTCTTTCTCCAGCTGCAGGAAGCTGGCATCATCACCCGGGCCAGTGTCCTTAAACTCTAGCTCTGCCTTCCAGCAGGTGGGGCTGCCTGCTCTATGCCGGCTTCCCTTCACGCTGTTGAAAACCCAGTTTGAATGTGAGGTTTGTTGCAAGGCTCAAGTGCAATAAATGCAAAGACCCTGGCATTCCGAGAAACTAGGTCCCCTCTCACAGATCAAGGTGTCCAGATAAATTTCTGGACTCCTTTCATGTAACATAGAATTTAGAGTTAGTAAAAACTGAGAGAATTAAACTAAGTTATAGAATGAAAAAAATCGTAGACAAAGAATTGGACCTTTGGCTTCTAGTAAAGCCTGGATGACTTACTCAGGAAATAGTTTTTACTTTTTTTAACCTCTGCATTTTTTATTGGCCTCTTGCTTCCCAAGAGTACCCTGTTTCTGCTGACTCAACGTCTCAGAACCTCAGTGTCGTTGGTCTCAGACACCACCTTTTCTACCAGTCTGCAGGTGGTGGTCTTTGGGATGGTCTGCATGGAGTGGCTGCTGTCCAGGGCATCACGGAGACTAAGGTCCTCGCCGTCTTCTAGCAGGTGGCGGTAGGTGGCAGTCCCAGCCTCCACCTTGACCTGGATGTTCTTCATGCTCCTGGGCCTGGCGCTACCCCTCTGCCCAGGTCTGTGCCAGCACCAACTCCAGGTGCAGCAGGACTCCACTGAGCTGCTCCATCTGCATGGTGTAGCGAGCTTCCTCCTCCCTCAGGCTGTTCTCCAAGCTGGCCTTCAGATTTCTCATGAAGTCCAGGTCAGTCCCTGAGAACTGGGCCTTGCGTCTCAGCTCCATGAGTGTCAGTTCTGGAGCTCCGATCTCGGGGGACTGTGCAGTGACACTGTGGTGCTCTCCTCGATCTGCTGGGACCAGTATTTGTCCAGCTCCTCTCGGTTCTTCTGAGCCAGCTCGTCATATTGGGCCTGGATGTCTGCCATCATCTTGCTGAGGTCTTGAGATTTGGGAGCATCCACTTCCATGGTCAACCTGGAGCTGGCAATGTGGGCTTGTGGGCCATCCTCCTCAGGAAGAGCAGTCCCTCCTCGAGAGCCTTTATCTCTGTCTCTAGTGGCAGCCGAATGACATTGGTGTTATCAATGACCTCGTGGAGTCCGTGGATGTCACTCTCCATAGACTGAGGCACAGCCAACTCTGTCTCATACTTGATTTTGACGTCATCAGCTACAAGGCCGGCATCGTTTTTCTGCAGAAGGGTGCGGGCATTGTGCACAAAGTTTGCAAAGATCTGTGCCCTCGGCTCCTTGACAGTCTTGAAATAATGCCCCCAGTCTCTGATCTGGGGCCCCTTCTTCTTCAGATGTTCCCAGATTTTGCTCTCTAGCCTCCAATTATCAGTCTCTAGGTTCCTCACTCTGTCCAAGTAGGAGACTAGATGGTTGCTCTGGTCTGGCATGGTCTTCTTCTTGCCCTGGATGCTCCCCATTTCTGCCAACCCACCAGCCATCCCTGCCACCAGGCCCCCGGCTCCCTAGCTGCCCTGGGCACTGTTGGTGCACAAAACGGAGATCCAGGAGCCTGAGGCCCTGGAGCTGCATAGACAGTGGTAGTGCTACTGGCTGGCCAGACCCGGTGACTGGGCACCTGGACAGAGCCCAGGGACTGCTAGTTGGTGGAGAAGGGGGTGGAGTGTGGTGAAGCTCATGCTGTCCGGGAAGGAAAGTAAGAGGCTAGGAATCTGGTTCAAGCCACTCCTCAGGAAGTGATTTGGCAGACACATTCCTAGATAGTGAGAAGAGCAGTCACTCCTTTTCAGTGTCCCCATGAGCTGCCACTGGGAAAGAGAGAAAGGTTAAAGACCCTTTGGGTGGCAAGCAGAGGCAGTGGTAAGATGCTATCTTCTGGGAGGCAATCCCCCACAGGAAGGTTCCTGGTTCAAGTCTAGAGACCTCTTTAACTATGCTAGGGCCTTGGGTGCCCATGATTTGGGGCTGGTTGAAGGCTGAGGGTAGATTCCAGAGTCAAAACCCTGTTGAAAGTGCTGTCTATCTCTCTTTCTCAAGAAAATAGAGACCTTTGTCTTCTTACCATTACCTACATAAAAGCTTCGGAAGTATTTCTGGACTCCTTTCAGGCAAGGAAGTCAAAGGGTCCCCATATTCCTCTATGGTGTGCATTTTATCACGTTTGCTTCACCGCCCTTTGTCTTCATATATAGACAAATTTGTTTTCTGAAATAGCACCCATCGTCCTTAAATACTTCAGTGTAGACGTCCCTAAAACTAGGACACTCAACTCCATAACCAGCACATCACCCTCCAAACCAGGAAATCAGCATGACCATTCACATTTCACTAACCGACCCAACAACGCGCTGGATTTCCTTTTCCGTTTTTGGTGCTGACCAGCATCACTTAGTTGTTACATTTCATTAGTTTCCTTCCATCTGGAGCTGATCCTCTGTCTTTCCTTCTCTTTCAAGTTTGTATTAGTCAGCTCAGGTTGCTGTAATAAATACCACAGCCCGAGGAGCTTAACAACCGAAGTTTAATTTCTCACAAGTCTGGAGGCCAGAAGTTCACAATCAATGTGGGTAAGTTGGTTCCTTCTGAGGCCTCTGTTCTTGGCTCACAGGTGGTCGTCCGCCCTCTGCGTCTTCCCCATGTGGGTCTGTTTCCTAATCTTATGAGGACACCAGTCAGATTAGATTAGGGCCCACCTCTATTACCTCATTTTAATTTAATTACCTCTTGAGAGATCATGTTTCCAAATAGAGTCATATGCTGAAGTACTGAAGGTTAGGACTTAAACATGAATTCTGGGGGTAACCCAGTCCATAACAGTCTTAAAAGGTACAGACCCTCCAGAGTATAGAATGACACACACCTAGTCCAGGATCTTTCCTCGTTACTGCACTCAGCCCGCATGCTCTCAGCAGAAATACTTCAGAAGTTATCCTGTGTTCTTTTCAGGGGCTAGCTCTGTCACCCTGACCTAACTTTATGATGCTAACCCTTATCAAATGATCAAAGATGTAGCTTAGTGCCTGAGCACCCTGGGCGGACGACCACCTGTGAGCCAAGAACAGAGGCCTCAGAAGGAACCAACTTACCCACATTGATTGTGAACTTCTGGCGTCCAGATTTGTGAGAAATTAAACTTCGGTTGTTAAGCTCCTCGGGCTGTGGTATTTATTACAGCAACCTGAGTTGGTGTCTGCCAGTTCCCCATAATAAATTTCCATTTTGCGCTTTGTATTTGGCTAGTGTGTGAGGGAAGGTATTTAATTATTATGTCCATATCCTGTTCCCTGCCAGATCGCCATTGCCCTTTCTTAGCAACCA